GGTCTGTTTAGGCCCACTGTCCGCCAGCATCCCAGGGGCGTGCACAGCTCGCCTCCTCGGGAGGGGCGGTGGGACCTTTTTTTGAGGGACTTTGCCTAACTTCCAGGGGTTGGACGCCAAAACCTGCCTCAAAACTACACCTTTTGGGGTCCTTCGGGGGGGGGGGGGGGCGATCCCCCCCCCCCCCTTGTGCACGCCCGTGCAGCATCCCCGGTAGTCGAGAGGCTAAACTACCACCCTCATATTCAACGATACAGCGATTATGACGTCACATTGGCTGAATAACAGTGCACTCTGGCGTCACTTACGGTAAGTATCCGGAGGATGAGGGTAGTATTCTGAAAGTCGTATTCCAGGCTGAAATGGATCTGGCCGACGTTTTCTGACGGCTCCGAGTTGTCGATGTACATGTCCACCAGTGAGATGGACCGGGACTGCAGGAAGGCCATCTGGAAGCAGAGAGAGACAGAGATAGAGACATATGAGTACGGTCGGTTCTCTGCGCAGCGCGCTCGAATCTGGGCCTCCGCAACCTCGCGGCAGCTAAATGGGCAAACTTGCGTTGACATTGTTTGCCAGCGGGGAGGGACGGCCGCCCAATGGATGCTGCCAGCTCGGCTAGCTCGGCCTGCGCAGCCGCCGAGCTCGGCCTGCCCGCCAGCTCGGCCGCCCTGCCCGCAGCTCGGCCTGCCGCCAGCTCGGCTCCCCTGCTCCGCCAGCTCGGCCTGACCCGCCAGCTCGGCCTGCCCGCCAGCTCGGCCTGCCCGCCAGCTCGGCCTGCCCGCCAGCTCGGCCTGCGCCAGCTCGGCCTGCCCGCCAGCTCGGCCTGCCCGCCAGCTCGGCCTGCCCGCCAGCTCGGCCTGCCCGCCAGCTCGGCCTGCCCGCCACAGCAGACTGATTCTGAGAGTCGTTTGCGTCGCTCTGTCTCTCTCGCACCTTTACGGAACGGCCTGTGAGTGCGAGAGAGACAGAGCGACGAAGACGACTCAGAATCAGCCAGCCAGCTCGGCCTGCCTTCCTTGCATAGCGCCGCATAAAACTTGCGGTGTGGCGGTCTGGGGTGGGGGATTTCCCCTCAGCACGTAAATTCACCGTCTTGCCGCGCAACCGCAACCGCATTTTCCTCGTGACGATGGACGCCCCCCCCCTCTCTCCTCCACTTCTCCTGGTCCACTGACACGGCTAGTTACTCGACGCGCGGCACTCCGGGACACAAACAGCCCGCCGGGGGCAGGGAAGTCCGGCCCACGTACTGCGTAGCCTGCGTAGCAGTGTGCCTGCAGCGACACACAAAGGCAGACCGACGGCACGCCGCCAGTACGCCTCACCGACCGGCCGCGTCCAACTACCTGCTGCTATGCACACCACTGTAAAAATCACCTCATTACAAAATACGGGATGGTATTTTGGTCAAGTTAAAATGATGCCAATTTTATCACAAAGTTGTGGCATTGTTATCAAAGCTCCTATGCTCGTTGCATGGGCGTGACAAGAAGTAAGTCGTCAAAACTGGTTGAATGACATTTCTGTAACGAAAATAAATCTTAAAATTATCATCAAGTTACAACCAAAATTTTCACAGTGGGCACAGTCAACCGATCTATTTCCGAACAGCGTTTAGCGGGCACACTCTAAAATGTCTTATGGTCAAAAGCTGCACCAACATACTATGGTGCAGATCTTCTCCATTGGGGCACCATTTTATGTAGAATCTTAACCTTAATGTGGGGAATCTTGACCCTAAGACTTTAAGGGTGCATACAGGAACCAAGCCCCGTCCCGTGTCAGCCCCGATTGGTCCGCACACGGTAAAAACGGTTCCTCCCAGGAACTCCCTGGAAATCGCCTATGTCTCTACCATAGGCTTCCTGGGAAAACCAGGTACCGTTTTCACCGTGCAGGCCCAAGCTGAGCCCCAGCCCAACCGCTGGCCCTGGACTCCGAGCAGAGTCCGTGCTGGGGCTCGGCCGGGCACGACCAGGTTGGTCCAAAGCCGTCGGGGCTCAAACGGGACGGGGCTCATGTCCCGTATATGCCGCTTAGTGGATGCGAGCCGCCAATACTGACGGCAGCACCGCGTCATGGTGTGTGGTGTGTGTGTGTGTGTGTGTGTGTGGATCCAGAACCAACCGTACACAGCGTACAGTCCACATGGTATGGGTTGTCCGCCCGCGGAGCGAACGAGCGAGCGAGCGGGAGCACTGCTGCAGGCCGCCGCGGTCTGGTCGTCGCGGTTGGAAAGGTGTAAAGTGGCAATACGTGCTCGCAATCATCCCACCTCCCTCCGGGGCCGGCCGCGACACACACACGCACACACACACACACACACACACAACACACACAGACACACAGACACACTCACACACACGAGAGAGTTGGTGGGCCGATTGGATTCAAAGCGCTGGTGGTGGTGCTTCGCTATTGAGCGACAGGTGCGGACGCCCCCGCCCCCTCCCCCTCCCCCCCCCCCCCTCCCCGCTGCAAATGCGATCGTCTTGGCTGCAGCAGCGAGTTCCGCCCGGAGCGGTGGCAGCCTGATTCCGAAAGGCGGATGAAGGTCTCTCCGTCTCTCTCTCTCTCTCGCACTCGAAGAACGTCGCATAACGGGTGCGAGAGAGACGGATAGATTGCGTGGGCAGCACGGCCCGCGGGGGTGCGTCAGGGGGCGGCCAAAGGCTTGGCCAAAGGGGCGGCCAGGAACAGGTACTCCAGTGAGGACGCACGCAGGGTAATGGGAGGCTGCCAGCTCGCTGCCAGCGGGCCTTGCCAAACGGCGAGCACGTGCGGTGCGTGTGTGTGTGTGTGTGTGTGTGTGTGTGTGTGTGTGTGTGTGTGTGTGTGTGTGTGTGTGTGTGCTGAGGTCCTGGTCGGCTGTGTACGGGGTCTAGAGGTACACACGAGACGAGACACACACTGTTCAATTTTCTCTGAGTATCAATTTGCCACCAAGTTCCATCAGAATAAGATTTATATCAACTGCACATTAAATGTCTTACGGTGAGAGGTTGCACCGACATATTATGGTGGAGACTTTCTTCATAAGAAATTCGTCAAAATATCTGCAAAGTACAGTGAATTTTGAAAAGGTAGGTTTGGCGTTGCTCGTTGTTGCCGAGGTTTACTCCACGGGGTCGCTGCACCTCACAGTGGCGTGGCGTGGCGCGGCACGGCCGCCGAAAGGCGAGACTTTCCGTAATCAGGGCTCCAGTCGCGGGTCGCTGTTGTGGCTGCCAGTCTGCGGCCTGATTCCGAAGAACCATTTCGTCGCTCCGTCTCTCGCACTCGGGCGGCGTCCCGCCAGGGCGTGCGAGAGAGACAGAGAGCCTTCCGGAATCGCTCGTCAGGCACAATGCCTCGCCCTCGCCTCGCTCGCCCCCTCAATCTCGGTCGAGGAGTGCAGCCTGGAGGAGAGGATGCCCCTTTGGCTATCAAATAACGGCAATCCGAAGACGGGGCTGTGCGCCCACTGACTCGCGGCCCTCGCGCCCCTCGCGGCGCTCCCAATCCAACCAGGCGGCTGACCCGACCCGCTGCAGGTTCAAAATGAAATCATGGGAGGTTTTGAAATTTTCCAACGACCGGAGCCTATGATTTTTCAACTTTTCAACCTCCAGGAATTTTCAAAGATTCTCTTTAACTGTGGAAGTACCGTCAACGAGGTACGGAAAAGCTCTGGACGAATACTCACCGATGGGTGGTCTCCCTTGACATTCTGCAGCTGCTTGTTCTGCGCCCCCGCCGCGCCGCTGGCTGCCGCTGCGGCGCCCTTCGGGTCTCCGGCGGCCGAGGTGGAGCCCGCCGCAGAGCCGGCAGGGCTCTTGGAGCCCGCGGTGCCCGCCGTCCTGGAACACACAGAGCGAGCACGTCAGAGAGCGATCCCAAGCGCATTTCCTTGCATGGACCATGCACTGTAAAAAAATTCCGTACTTTTGTACGGAAATGGTACAGCAAAATATAGTACGGAAGTACGGAGAAAAGTATGGGAACCCAAATGGGTACGGAAAAAAAGTACGGAAGCTCCGTAGTTGGTAAGTACGGGCGTTCCAGGCAAATTATTGACCAGACATGTTCCGTACTCTTTTCTCACAGTGCATGTTGGTCCACGCAACCTAGTGCGTACTTGGTCCACACTTGGACTGGCAGTGAACCTGTGAATTTCGGTGTGTTATGAATCTCAAATGAACTTGGGGTGAATTTCGGTGAATTTTACGCAAAAACTAGTGAAATTTGTAAAGAATTTCAATGAATTCAAATTCAACATTTTTGGTGAATTTTGGTGTACAAAGTTCTCTGAGGTTTTTCTGGACACCGCTTCGTCGCTCTGTCTCTCTCACGCCCCTTTGGGTGCCCTCTGAGTGCGAGAGAGACAGAGCGACGAGAAGCTCTGTTCGGAATCTGCCAGCCGGAGGGAGCAATGCGGTTCGGGTATCGGTTGCAGTGAGCTGGTTCCAGTCGGCTGCTTCCAGAAGGAGCCAGCCGGTATTCCGGTATTGTCGGCCGCGAACACGAGAAATAAAAAGGCTTTGTTGTGGTGATCAACTCTGTTCGATTGGGTGGATTCGGTGTAGCTGGAACTGCGATCGAAACTCCGATAGCTACACTGGTAAAACTGAAGGTTAGGTATTGTGCGCTTCGTTCAAGTACGCAGCTTCGCTTGAAGACTTTTCCACTTTAAGTCATCGAAAGTACTGAAGAAATTCCCTCACTTTCATGTGTTAAGACTAGATATCGGCTGAACGGCGGAACGAGTAACAATACGCTTGAAGCCACATGACAACCACTGCACTTTAGGCTTCAGTTCCACTATAAAGATTGTACAACCAAAAGCTGGTTGTCACAATGACTGGTCACTTGTTCGATGACAGTTCTGTTAGATGGAATCGCCCACGTGATCGATCGTGGCTACTAGATTTTTTTGGTAACCGTATTTTCGATTGGAAACTATCGAACTAAGCCAATCGACTAGCTAGAGTTGATTACCGCAACAAAAGTCTTTTCCCCCCGCGGACCGGCGTCGCGAAAACCGTGTGGCAGACAGTAAAGTTAAACGCCAGGCTCGCGCAATTCTGAATGAAAAAAAAAGGGAAGGGAACAAAAAAACTGAGTGGCGGCCCAGCGGCGCGATGGCAGTGCGACCTTGTCTGCCGGGAGAAGGTGACGATCCAAGGGTGGCAGGGCGGCGGGCCACATGACCGCAGAGCAGACTGAGAGCCGTTTTCGTCGCTCTGTCTCTCTCGCACCTGTCAGGGGGACGCCCCACGAGTGCGATCGAGGGAGACAGAGCTACGACGAAAACGGCCCGCGGAATCAGTCTGCTGTTTGTTTTTCGTCCCGATGGCTCGGGGGGTGGCCCTCCTTTTGTGTGCGGGATTGCGCAAATAGCTCGGGCAATCGCGGGGCGACAGGCAGCCGGCCTCCACCGAGAGACCTATCACCACAATTTAAACACGAAATTAAATGTTGCAAAAAAGAGCACCCTTAAAACCTTATGAAGTATTTTCAGGTTACGGTGAAAGCGGTACCTGGTTTTTCCAGGAAGCCTATGGCGAAGACATGATTTCCAGGGAGTTCCTGGGAAAACCAAGAACCGTTTTTGCCGTGCATACATAGTACAAACTAGGTTACTTTGTATTACGAAGAAATTACGAAATATTTTCTTTGTAAGCTTATATGTATGCTCAAAATACTTTGTTATGACAAACTGCTTCTCTTTGTAAGGTCTGAAATAGTTTGTAAGGCCTGAAATAGTTTGTTAGGTTTTCTCAGTGAGGAGAAAAAAAAAATTCAGTCGGTAACTGATGGAAGGATTCACCGAGAGACGCCCTTCAAGAATCACGAAAGCAATTCGCCAATTTGTGTCCGAACCGAAAAGCCGGGCGCCAAATACGATACGAACTAGCCCAACTCCATCTCCGGCGGGGAGGACACGCCACGCCGCGCCAAAGGCGAACAACTAACTAATACGTGCTCGCCGAGACTGAAAATGAGGGGGAAAGGCCCGGGCGGGGCGGGGCGGGGCGGGGCGGGGCGGGCGGCCGCGGCGACAGTGGCGGGCCACATGAGACCCCCAGAACAAACAGAACACACAGCAGATGGCGTGAAGGAGCCGAATTTCCAGCCAGAGACTCAGCGCCGCTCCGCGCAAGGGGCGCGGAGGGAGACGCGGGGGGTTGAGAGAGAGAGAGAGAGAGAGAGAGAGAGAGAGAGAGAGAGAGAGAGAGAGAGAGAGAGAGAGAGAGAGAGAGAGAGAGCATTGGGAAACGAAGCGTGGCCTCCTGGAGAGTGCCACCCCAGCCTCGCTGATGACGGCGCTGCTGGCTTTCCCGTCTCACTCGCTCCGCTCCATCTGTCATCCGCTCCGATCCTGTCCGCTCCTCTCCGCGGCAAACACACACACACACACACACACACACACACACACACACACACACACACACGACGCACGCGCGCGCAGTGTGACACACTCTCTCTGCCTTTGTGGTCAGTGAGTGAGGAAGGATTCGGGAAGGATGATGGCCACTGGCAAATCAGACACCATAGGGCGAGGTCCGGGGGGAGCGGCCGTAATGGCGCGTCTCTCAGCAGCAGGCTCATTCCGAGAGTCGCTCTGTCTCTCTCGCACCCATGTGGAACGGCCCATGAGGGCGAGAGAGACAGAGCGACGAAAAGGGACGACTGTCGGAAGCGGCCGGCGCGCGGCCGGCTCACGCTACGCCGGCAGAACCAAACGCCGGGGCAAACGACGCTGATATTTCCTGCTCACGCCCAGCCACGCGAAGGCCCTCCGGGACGCCCCACTGTTTATAACATTCCAAGTGTTTCGTTTGTGCGTGCGCACTGCCGCCGTGCCGTGCCGTGGCGCTGCTGCGCGTGCGAACGGACGAGACAGAATCGGACGGGTCCGCATTTCCGGGCCCTTTTTATCCTTTCTCTTTCGACCCCTTTTTGATCCCTCGGATTTTCTTTTACGACACATTGAATGAAACGTGATGGGCGCTCTGACTGCCGGGTGGGGGAAGGGGGAGGAGGTGGGGGAAGGGAGAGGGGGGGGGAGGGGCGGCGTGTGACTAATGCGGGATGACCCCTCCCCAGACTCCCTTTGGCGACCCCCACGTCCCGGCCCTGCCCTGCAGACTGACTCCGAGAGTCGTTCTCGTCGACCTGCCTCTCTCGCACTCATGGGGCGCCCCGTGTAGGTGCGAGAGAGACAGAGCGACGAAAACGACTCTCGGCGTCTGCAGACTCCGAGCGTGGCCGACTGACCTTGCTGGCAAGAAGATAGGCCCGCAAGCAACCCTACGGCCTCACAGGGACGGCGGGCAATAAAGAAAAGGGAGAAAAAACGGCGTAAGAAAGCTAAAAAAGGAGGAAGGAAAAAGCGGCAGCACGAACCGGTCGAGGCAGCTCCTTTCTCTCTCTTTCTTCGGTTGCGTTTCCCTCCACTCCACAAGGCGCCTTGCTCGTCAAGGGAAAAGGACGCATCCGCCTCGTCAGGGCGATCTGTGGCACGACTCATTTGGCGCCATCAGCCCTGCACGCCCTGCACGCCCCCAACCACTCGGGGATGTTCTCCAGAAACCCTGGTTCAGGATGTTGACGTTCTTCAACCGTTCAGTATGTCCTCTTGAAACCCCGGTTTGGGGGATATCCTCCAGAAACCCCGGTTTGGGGGATGTCCTCCAGAAACCCTGGTTTGGGATTGTTCTCCAGAAAACCCAGTTCAGGATGTCCTTGAGACACCCCCGTTGATGTTCTCAAGAAACCTTGTGTCGGAGAGTCCTCCCAGGACCCCGTCTCGGCGTCTCGGAGAGTCCCCCAGAACCTCCTGTTCGGGGATGTCCTCCAGAAACCCCTCGGGGGTGACAGCGCGAACCAGACCCCCGGGAACCCGTGACCATATGGCGGGCTGGGTCGTGCCGGTGCATCATCGCGACCGTGTTTTTTCGTGTCGCAATGCCACGCAATGCTTGGCAATGATAATGGTTATAGAGGGGCATCAAAGTTAACGGCCAGCGCCACAGTGGCGCCCTCTATAAACGCAGCCATTCCCGCGCCGAAAGATTAATTATTAAAAATACGGCGTTAATGGCGGGGGGGACACGTTATGGTATCGGGGTGTACCAGTGTGCCCCCCTCCATCTTACAAGCAGTAAATTCGTTCCACGCGAAGATAAATCTAACGGGCAGGCGCTGCGACGACACTGCAAATAAATGATATGAAATAAAAGAGGGGGAGGGGTGGGGGAAAACCATGGTCCTGTGGCGCCAACTCCTAGTGACGTACGCACACTTCGAATCCGAATCGAATCATTTTGTGGCTCTTCGATTCAGTTCGAGTTTTCAATCAACAAGTTTCGAAGTAAGGTGATTCTTGAAAACAGAACCCGTTTCGAAGTCTAACAGAGACACTTGATCCGATAGATTCAGGGGAAACTAAGGCAAATTAGGCTGGATTCAATTCCGGAAAATAAAGTGATCTGGTTCAGAGTGACTTTGAAAAAAAAAATCGACTGGGCACATCTGTCCTGCTTGTCGCTCGCTACCCGTTGGCCGAAGGTTGCACATCGCGATCCGCGATTTACTGCCGCGGCCCGGAAGTGATCACGTCATCTGGGCCGCGTCCGAAGCGCTCCGCGAAGCTTGTCCAGAGCGGCACACTGCGAGCGGCCGACCGTTTCGGAGCGAATGGAACAAGCCATAACCCGGGCAGAGAGATACTGCCGGTGGAACGCGGCAACACGGCGCGGCCCCGCCGGAGTGAAATCGAACAGGTCCGCCGCGCGGTGTAGCAGCAGACTGAGAGCCGTTGTCGTCGCTCTGTCTCTCTCGCTACGCAAGGGAC